TTTTTCCCCATTTATGAAGTGTATGATATATGAAGTGTATGATACATGATTATGAAGTGTTAGATATATAGGAGTTTAAGATTGCAAAAGAATCTTCAGAAGCGTAGTAAAGTTTGGTGCATTTTCACTTAAAGGGAATGATCCTAAACTAAATATCTTTTCATTTTGACTTTATGGAAAGATAATTTTGTGTGTTAACTCAGTAGTCAGAGAGCAGCAGTTTAATAACTTACAATAAAATTAAGTAATATTAGGAAAAAACTTGCTTTCACATTTCAAGAGTTCCCGTGCTAGATGGTGTGAAAACCAGTCCTCCTTTCTGCAGATTGCCTCCAACAGATAATCAGACTCTTCTCCATTTCATTTTCCAGAATGTCTTGCTGCTGTATTACGCACAGTGGTGTGGATTCTGTGCTTCTCTTAATCACATCTTTATTCAACTTGCTCGGCTTTTGCCTCCTGACAGTTTCACTGTGGCAAGGTAAAAAGATTCTAATTTCATCTTTCCAGAGATCATTGAGGTCATCAGCCTAGAAAATAAATGCTTTTTTTCTCTCTACAACTGTGCAATACAGATGTGAATGTCATCTGCTTAATTTATCTTTTAATGCATTATTTTGTTTTCATTTTTATATATTTGGTGGTTTTCAATCTCACTGCAGTAGTTATCCACCTTCATTAAAATTGATTTTTAACCTGGGCAATTAACCTTGAAACTTCCTAATTTCAGGAAGTGAATCCACATGAATCCATAACTTTGTGATGATTTGTAGCAAATAGTAATATGCTGTTTGTGTGTCTGTGTCTATATATATAGTTGTTAGCAACACCATTTGCATCACAAATCTAAAATGGCAACCTCCATCCTATGATAAAGAAAATTAACTATCCCAGGCAAACCAGTTTACAGAAATACATTTATATCTATAGATGCATGTGTGTAATGTATATATGTTAAATACATTTTATATGTAAAAAAGCATTGTTTTCTTTGGTGTTTCCAGGGTTATTAATATTTTAGTGCATCTGACACATTCTTGTTCATGTATGTGATAATAATGCATAAATACTTAAAACATCTGCTCTGATTGCATCTTTATTTGACTCAGACTGAACTTACTCCAGGAGATAGCATGAGATATAGAGAAAAAATAAATCAATTAAAAATCTTTATTGCTGCAGATGTGATGCTGTCCCAAGGCTACACCCATTCTCTTGCCTGACTTTGAAGTTCTCTCCATTGCTCCATTATTTTCACAGCAGTATTACTGATGTGATTGTCTGTTTTGTTCTATAATAATTTGTAATTAATAAGAAATTTATTTGTGAAAAGAAGGCCTAAAATGAAGAAGAAAACAGTAGCAAAACAGTTAAACCAAGTGTTCCTTTCTACTCATAGCTTTAGGGAAGAAAGCACCTTTAAGCATGTGCTTGTTCTTGGAAGAAGCAAAATAATTCAGTCCCAAATCTACTCGAGGGGACAATATTAAGAGATGTACTTGAGGAACAAATGAATGACTAAAAATAACTTGTCTCATGTTTGGTGTGCCTATCTCAGAAGGAAGATGTGTACACAATGTGTGCACTGTGTGTACACAGTGAGCAACGGGGCTTTAATTGCTGGCTGAGAGCAGTTGCAGTATTGAATGTACTATTCTAGAGAAAAACCCACACAGATATTTGTTAAACTGAGAGTCATCTTCTTGAATATTGGTAATTAATTCTGCTGACTCATCTGCACAATGTATTTCTGGCAGAACACATTTAGACGTACTTTCACAGATCCTTAGATTTCCTTTTTCCCAATCCCTGAAATGGTATTTTACAAGAAAATATAGATTGTTTATCTGCCTGTTCTCTTCATCGGTGTGTCTTTTCCTCACAGAATTGATGTGACTCGAAATGACCTTCCCTGGGAATTTATGACAGACCGTCTCCCAACCATTTTATTTTTTCCTCATCAGAGGTAATGTAATTCTTTTCCCTGTGGTTTTTTAGCTTCTGTTTTACTGAGCTGCAGTAATTATCTGGTTACGTGTCTTAGTAGGGAAAAAAGCCAAAGAGTAATTCATTTCTGTATATGCATTCTCACCACATGCGTATTCTAATGAAAAAAACATGAGGAAAATAACAAAATAACCCGACCCACACAAATTTCCACCCTTCTCCCTCAAGGGCTCTTACCATCAGCAAATGGGAATTCAGTCTACTGATACTGGGCAGTTACATACCACAAAATCTCTAAACCTGTGCCTTAAGTTTTGCCATTTTGGATATAAAGGTGCCTTTTAATGTAGCTTCTTATCCATTTGCCTTATGAAACAATTTTTGCAAATAAAGGTGCCTTATATTAGGGCTTTTAATGTAGCTTCTTATCCATTTGCCTTATGAAACAATTTTTGCAAATTAACTCTGTTCTCAATTTCTTTCCACCACATGCTGTTAATATTTTGTTCTGCTATTTGTTTTAAATAGCCTTTTAGCTTCTTTGATACATGCTGTGGTTTTGATCAATAAAAATGGATGATGATGTAATAAAACATTACCATAATATAGTGAGTCAATTTTGATTTAGCGTAGACTATTTTTTGCCTAAATTATGTCATGATTCATTAATCTGGGATGGGAGCTGATAGTCAGCTGAGCAACTGCTGATGGTAATTACAAGAGTAACTTGGTCCATCACCAGGAATCGGCAGGGGAGGAAAACTCATGGTGCTCACTCTGCCAGAAATAGCTTAATCTTGATGAGCAGGAGCCTGATCTGACTGAAGTTCTTGAATTAATAATAAAATGTGGTATCTGTCTTCTATCTGCTGTACAGTAAGTCATTTTCAGTAAATGAAATGAAACATTTTTATATCCCACATGTTTAGGAGTTGGATTTTATAGAAGGTATTTTTGTGGGAAGTGTAATTGGTAAGGAACTCCCCTGTTCCAGGTGCACATTGTAACCAATTCAGGACGTGATGTCACTCACACAAGGGGACATAAGAGTTGTCCATGGTGTTGTACAGGAGCACCAGGAGACTTTAGGCTTTATACTTGAATCTGGCTTTCTTGCTTTGCAATTATTTTTGTTTGGGCTTATTCTCGGTCCTTTTTCTCACTTACATAATTATCCCAGATCTGAATGTATGCTACTTACCACTACTCTAGTCATGAATTTGACAGCCAGACAGAAGCAAACTAAGCTTTTCTTCCTTGTTTTGATAGCTGCCTCAGGAAAGAGAAAAATACACTGCTGGCTGGCAAAGCTGGAGCAGACCCAAAGTGATAAACTATTAGCTGGCTTCCCAGTTGTACAGGGTGAGGTGGAAGTGGCTGTGCTGCAGGAAGAAGTGAAATTGTGTTGTACTGGAACATACTGAGTGAAAGGCTGAAGGTGGAACTGCTTCAGAAAGGGAAGAACAAGAGCAAGTTCCAGTCTAGTCCTTAGAGGACAGTTAGCCTCATATGTGTGTACAGGGTTCACAAAGGGCTGTAATTGTAACATTTGTCACAGCTGGAGCTGGTGGTTTTTAGTGGTTGATAGTCTTGAGGAAGAAATTTGGTACGTGCTGTTCTTGGCCTCTCTTGTAAGAGTTTCTGCTGTTGTAGAAAGGAGGCTTACCTGCTCCATAGGCTGGGCTTAGCATTCACAGCTTTGGGGGGGGAAACACCAACAGAGAAACCTTGTTTGGTTTGCTTCCTTCATCACCTCTGACAAAGCAGTAAGAGGAACAAGTAAAGAGATTTATTTTTTGACAGCAAAAGGACCTTACTTCTGACTAAAGTAACTCACTGTTCAAAAGCAAACTGCTCCCTTGCCATGGCTTTCAGGTACTGGAACTCACCAAGCTACTGCTTCCAGGAAAACAGATTCAAAATAGTGATTTCCCATTGTGTAGCTTTATGTATCTGGACTCAAATTCTAAATAATGTATGTAGAGTTAAGAACATTTAAACATCATCCTTCAACTTATAAATAGTAATGGCACTGTACTTGATCATACAGTGATGTTTCCCTATGTACTTGAAGCTCATAACCCATGATCATGACTATTTCTTTTTTAAGACTTAAATCTGTTTTCTGAGATTTAGCAGAATTTTTTCTTCAAATACCAGTCCCATGCAGAGATGTTTAGAGCACCAAGACTGGAACATGTGGAAAAGTGGAACATCAAAAAAGTTTGTGTGATCTAGGTTTATTACATGAGTTTAGGTTTCTCTTAGCTGCTGTACTAACCATACTTGATAAAAAATGAGGCATCAACTTGGAGTTAAACAGCAGATGCTTAGGTAAAATTATGCTTAACCTTCCAGAGTATTTTACTATTAACTTGCTATGTCCTTCTAGGAAGGAGCAAAGTGTGAAGTTCCCTGAAGACTTCTCCGTTAACCTTCCTAATCTCCTGAAATTTATTTTACATCACTCAAGTCTTTCTTCGTCAGAGCCCTGTACCAAAGAATGCCTACATAAAGAGTCAGTTCTACAGCAAGGACACATCTCACACTTGGAGAGAGAAATTCAGAAGTTAAGATCAGAAATCAGTGCCCTTCACCAGGCCCACGACCAGCTTGAAGCACAGCTTTCTGAAGCCAGGAGAGAGGAACAGAGACTACAGCAGCAAAAACACACACTGGAAAAGCAGCACAAAACTCTGCAGCTCCACAGTGAGCAGTTACAGGCCACATATGACCAGAAGAATCAAGAATTGTTAGAAATGGCTGAAAAGCTTCAAGAATTAGCTGATGCATCAGAAAACCTCCTTAAAGAAAATGCTTTACTGAGAATTCTGTTGGCATCACGAGGAGGAAAGCTACAGAGCAAAGATGAAGTTGAAGAACCCCTTCAATCTGAGCAAACACTTTCTGAAGATAATGATATATCACTTTCAACAGCTACTGCTGCTTTAGAGGAAAAAAGGATTGATAATATTGATACCATAGAGACAGAGCACAGTAGTGGAAATAGGACAGAATAACTGCTTACACAAAGTCAAGTGATGCAGTATTGGGTAGGTATTTATGCAAATTTTATTGACATTCAATGTAAATAAAGACTTCCCCCACATGATCTAGAAAAAGAAAAATCAAATGGAATATTTTTGTATACTTGAACAACTTATTAGATACCCCCATCTTAAGAGAAGAGGAGAATGGAAAACACTTTCTGCACTTTACTATTGCACTAACTTGCAAACACCTACCCATTTAAATGAAAGATACTGGTTTGTAGGGGCAGCAGTTTGCAGCACCTCTGACTAAAGACCAGTTAGTTTTCACTGGCTTTCTCTTAAGCTGCTAGAAGGGAAATCAGACCTTTGATTTATACTTTTCCATAATTTCTGAAATTTGCCCTTTACACTGCATTCTCTTTGCTGAATTAAAATAGATACTTCACTTGTGTAATCAGTAAACTTGAATGGACAAAGTCATCTTGTTACAACTGTTCTGTTCTCAAACTTCAGCACTTTGTATCACTTTTGTATCCTGGTATTCTGACTGGATACCGCAAGAGCCATGTGTGAACTGTTCTCTATTGAAAACTCCAGGAAGTCTTACTGAATTAATCCTGTTTTTCTTTGCTTTTAAGAGGTCTCAAATACAGCTATTTAAGTGTACAGGTCTGACAATACATGCAGGTCTCTTGAGAGCAGTATTTTAAAAAGCATGTGTCAGGGTAAGAACATTATCAGCTGTACCCAAAATGTTGTACTCAAGAGGCAACAGCAGGAGCTTTTTACTACTAACAGCATTTTTTTGCTTCACATTACAACTTTCAATTTTAAAAAGGCAAATGTAGCACTAACAAAGCAATTCAACATCTTAGTGTAGAAGAAGGGGACAGTTTTTCTAGGCCATTCTTGTCTTGCATATTGTTAAAATTCTCAAGCAAGCTTGCTAGGCCTTAAGTTATTCCATAAGTGTAAGTACAAGAAGCAAGTATAATGCTTCCTCTGGAGCTGAATTAAGGCTAGGCAATTAAGTGTTTAAAAACATCAATAAGCAAAGGAGTTCATGTAAAAAGTAATAGAAAACAGGCCAGTAACCTCTAAGCATGTGTGCCTACACAAAGAATTAGAATACATAAGCTGCCATTGGCTGCTCAGTGTTGTTCCTTCTCCTCTCCCCAAACCTTTGCAGTTCAGACCTTCCCATTTAAAATCTTTTTACCAGTCCTACAGCTGATCTCCAGCACAGGGCAGGAAATGTGTTATCTGGAAGGACTTGGCCATTGCTCTCTAAAAACTCCTACAAACTGACCAGCAATAACCCTTACACCCCTGTCAACAGTAGAAAAGACTGAAACTTCTCCTCTTGTAATACAGTTCCATCAAAAGTTATATACAAGATACATTAACTGAAATTCTAGAGTTGTCTGGCTGTATGTATTACAAAATACCTTTTTGTAACAGGCTGTTAACATACACCCTAAGTACACAAACCAGGGATCTAGGAAGAATTCATACTACTTGCACTTAAGCCTGTTTTGCTAAGTAACCACTTATGCAGTTTCAGCACACAGACCTGTGGAAGACAGAAGCCTGCTCTACTGCCATTTCAAACACCTGGAAACCATCTGGACTTTCCCTGAGGGTTCAGTATCCATCATAAGTTCCCAGGTTGGAACCCATCAAAATGGCAGTTTCCTTGCAGTAGCTACATAAGAACTCAGTTCTAGCAGCCAAAAGCTTAAACAACATAGCTGCAGCTAAAGGAACTTATCCTTCCTTGCTCCTGTGTTTCCTCCTTCAGCATTACTGAAGGTTTATCCCTTCTTTTTAAACGAAGTTCTCTGCATCAGTCTAATAAACTGTTCAAAGGAGGAGTTCTGGCTGCACACTCAGTGTAGTAGCAGAAGCAAGCTTTAACTGCAGATCTGGTTTTGGAGCTCTGGTGTCCCATCCATGGTAGTGGCTCAGGAGTCCCTGTGTATTATACACAGTTGTGTCATATTCCTGTATGTTACAGAACACAAAGCAAGAAGTTTCTGGCAGCCTATTTACAGTTCACAGTTGTAAAGTAGTCCACATTGCAGTAGTAGCTCCATCAAAATAGGCTCAGCTAAATATTCAAGTAACAAAAAACAGTAGTAGTCTCTTCACACCAGTATATCCCTGTGCCCATTGCCAGCAATGGACATTACACTATGAGTCAGCTCCTTCCATAGAGGAATTGGGATACAAAGTGGATACACTGATGCAAAGTGCAACTTCTCAGTGCATGCGGTTGCAAACAAAGCTTATTTAATTCTCATCAGGGTGTTTTCTGAAGAGTGCACGTGACCAGGTTCTTCACAGTATGGAGATGCTTCTGCTGGTTACACACCATGAGCAGAGCCCATCTGCAGGTGTTGCTCTGAGTTAGCTGTGTACTTCCGGGCCATTTGGAGTTAGCTTAGCTTTCCTCTCCACACAGGGTCCTTTAGCAGAGTACTGCACCAGTAGAAAGGGCTCTTTGGTTTCTCCCTCACCCACAATGCTTTCCTCATCCTCAGACTGGCTGAGCCTCTGCAGCCGCAGGTAGCACCAGCAGCCCAGAATGAGGGCTCCCAGAGCCGCAATGGCGATCAGGATAACGATGACAGTCACCACGCCGGTGGTGGGGCTGTGATCCGTGATGGACATGGCCAAGAGTTCAGCCTGTACTCTTCTTCAGGAGATTTTTCTGTCCTCACTGCCAGTCTTGATGCATCTTCAAACTCCTGCAGGGTTAAAAATAAGTAATGAATTTGTGCAGTTTTACTGCAGTCAGCAAGATTATATTCATGGCTGGTATTGTCCACAAGGGCACATGATCCTCTTGCACTCCAGGGCTTTGTGCTGCTCCGTCATAGCATCACAGAACCACGTTTTGGCTCCTGACATGCTTGAGATGGCACACGGTCAGCCTAGTAAGAGGTAATAATCTTCACTAGGAGGTACAAGACAAGACTGAAAGCTCTATGGAATTATAGTTTAGCACAGGGAGATTTAAGACTGTTCATACAAATGCTGTATCGCAAGTGAAATCTCTAATCCATGACGAGGCAAGCAATTCAGCTACCTTTAGTTTTTCTCAAGGAATCCTACAGAAACAGTACATTTGAGTGCCTGGCCTTTTCTAAAAATCAAATTTACAAACCTTCTTATATACTAACAATTCCAGGATTGGTAAGCTAATTGTGAAGGTAATTGCAGTGCTGATGCTTTACTACAAGTCTGTCCATAACAATGGTCTGCTTACAAGGGCTGGGTACATGGTAATTAATTGTTTGTTCATTGAGCACATAAAACATCTGTTGCTATTTTCATAAAAAGCAGGTAGAGCTGTATTTAAGACTAAAAAAGCACAATGGAAGCATCTGCTCCTCTTAGTGGCTTTAAAACCATATGAGAAACATAGTCTGTTAGGACTGCAGCTAGAATTGGAAGAGAGGCAGCATCAGGAAACTGAAGAGCTCCAAGACTTCCTTAGTTTGCTGTAGTATGAGCAGGAAAAAAAATTATACAGGTAATGTCTTTTGCTACTTCTTCCAAATTCACAACCCTATTTTCAAAAAGTCATGTGAGCCTTGTGTTTAGTTTCTAAGTTACTGTTTACAAAGGTGACAGTTTTACTTTCCTTCCTTCAACTAGGCCATAAAAGGTAATGAATGAATGACTTGCTTATTTCCTACTACCCTAGCTCTTCAACAAAGCACAAACTCATGCAAGACTGTAGTAGAGACCAGAGCCAGTCCTACCTGGGAACATCTCTTACCTCTGTACTACTGTAAAAATCAGGTTAGGGCTCAGTGCTGCCATTTCAGGTACAAAAGATGCAGTCCTTAGAGCTGAGGCCAGCTTGAAGCACACATGTGCCTTTCTCTGGACCTGTACCCACTGACTGGCAGTGGGGTAACAGGAGGATCTTCTGGCTGCCAGTTTGTTGGGGGTCACATACACTTATCCAGGAAAGGCTCCTCACCACCACTGCTGCAGTCTCAGCTGCAAGTACAGCATCTTCATAAAAAAGCCCCTCAGAAGAAGTCAGTCTTAACCCACCCTTACCCAGGACCACTGGGTTACAGCGAGTGTCACCCAACTGCACCAAAAGTCTCATCTGCATTTCAACACGAGTCAAGGCAGTTACAGTGCAGGATCCTTACCAGGACAGCTCATGCCAGAGACCAAGTTGGTTCCTTGATGTGTCATGGAATAACAGACCCATGTGTATCACCATTTCAGCAAGGACACCACTACAGGGTTCAGCACGTGTCATTAGAATCCAGTGTCACCTAACTTGCAGACACTCTGGTTACATTTCCAGCCCTGTAAACTACAGCAATCGATAGCTTGTAGTGTATCTGATACAACCAGCCAAGTTCTGCAGACCCAATTTTGCCTAAGTAGTAAAACCAAACCTGACCACACCACACACCCTCAGCAGGGCTGTGTGCCCACTGCAGCCAGAGAATTGTATGATTTGTCATAATCACCTTGGTTCTGCAATGCTTATTCAACACAGGGTGATCAGCTGAGGGTGATTAAGAGTGACTTTCATATAATTGATTTTCCTCAGGGCAGGTCTGAAGAGCAGCACTGTTTGATCCAGCCAAAAAGACAGTTTACCTTGCTTCACATGCAGACTCTGCACAAGCCACACTGAGGCTTCTTCTGCAGCTTGCACTATTGTGACAGCCTACTCTTCCTCTACAGCAGTTTGGGTCAGCATATAGCCTTACATTAAGCAGTTACTGTCACCTTGAAAATAGTTTTTCATAGTGGAAACTATTGCAGATGCTGCCCCTCTGCCAGTCTTTGAGTAGACAGCATCAACTATATAAAGTATGAAACTGTTCCCATCACCAGCCTTTCCTGGCAATCTTGTTTCAGGATGCAGGAGACTGATTTATGATGACTAGATAATTTTGAGTCCAACAAGGCAACTTACAGATTCCTCTTCAAGATTTTCTTGGCCAAATCCATAGGTTAACTTTGAACTCTAACTCAAATAGAAAACATTTAGAATTTTAAAGAACTTCACCTCTCAATGAAAAAGTGTAGGCATCCTTCCTTCAGGCATATCCTCTTCCCACTCAGGGACATGAGAACCAGCACCCTATATAAAGTCAGGTATTAAGCATCTGTACAGATGGCACAAACAACTAGTTAATAGTGTGTGACAGTAGCTTTAGATAGTTTGGCACCTATAGTGTTGCTAGCTCACACTGCATTTTTCTGGCTCTAGGTCACTGTACAGCTAGAGCTAAAGCTCTCCTGGAGTCTTAGTTCTACCCTTAGCACAGCACATTTGCATGTTGTAACTCTATTAGCAAGAACTTCCAGAGAACTCTTGGGATTGTGTTATTTTCTGGACACACAACTCCAACCTTGCTATTCTTTCCACCAGCAATTGACTGGAATTCAGATTAAGCTGTCTCCATACTCCCCTTCTTGACAGGGGAAATACTGCATTTTGTAGATCCCCTTAAATTAATTTAATGGCCACAAATTGTTCAGGCTACCTGAGCTAAAAAGCCCCTATGAGCATACCAGGAGCATTGTCTTTGTTCATCACTTTTACTGGAAGGTATTAGAGGCTGTAAATTCCTGATCTTCAAAGGGGGTGGCAGCACCATCCATATCTGGTGGCACTTGTAGAGCTGTGTCCCTTCCCACCACACTTGCTATCAAATCAAGCATCTAAGCATATTTACTCATAGGGAAGATTAGTCAGATGACTGGTGTGAACTGCAAATAGCCTATTTTAGTTCTTACAGCAATCAAGCAGTGAAAACATCAGCTAGAAACCATTTTTCTATAATTAACTTGCTTCTCTTTTTTGCCTAATACCAGCTTCTACTCAGAAATTCATTTGTGAAGTTTTATTATCCAATTCAGAAGCTGTAACTAAAGGACAAACAGAAAGGCAGTCTGAATTGTAGAAGGCTGCTAGCGGACAAATGCAGTGCAAGACTGAAATTAGTTGCTAAACCAAGTTTTTCATTATTACAGGCATTATGCTGTGAGGTTCACTATTTTTAATGCCTGCAGGCATGTTTCACTGCTACCATTCAACCAAAGCTGTAGGGAGAGGCTTCAAAAGCAAGTTTACTACAGTTCACCCAGATATACTGAAGTCCTCATCAAGCAGTTATGGTTCAAGTATTAAATCTTTCACCTTTTTTTTTGGGGGGGGGGAGGTGGAGCTGCTGTATTATAGTGTTCTACCTAAAGTAAGTTAAATGGGGCACAGTAAAGAAATGAGAATAAAACTGTCAGAGTGACTTTCAGCTTAATTTAAAAAAAAAAATCAGTAAAAACTGTTTACTTAAAAAGCCTCCAACAACAGCTTCTATATCAACATGCTTCTAGTTGTGAAAAATGCTTTCTCCTGTTTCTCTAGTAAAATCCTTTTTGAGGAATACTGCATACTCATCACAGTAACATCCTTCTTGCCAATGGAAGGCAAGGGGAGAACCCACTGGGAAGATCAGTGCTGTACATTTACACATTGGCACACAAGTGTGTACAGCACCCACAATACCCACAGAAAGCAAAGCCTTTACAATACAGGGGTGCTCAGGCTTCACCACTTGCACATAAAAATGACATCACTGTTATTCTTCATTAACTCCAGTTAATACCACCTCCTTGTGATAATGCCAAATTACCTTGCACAAGCTGGGGCTTGGCCAGAGGCTATTTTAGAATCAGGGAGCTGTTTAGTAGAAGGCTTCAATGCAAATCGACTTTTCCCAACCCTTCCTGTAGTTTTGATGAGGAATAGCAGAACAGGGCTTTTCTGTGGCTAATTAGCTGTGGACAGTATTCAAAGAACTTAGCATTCAGGCAATTGTTTGACACTCTAGAACAAAAGCTCATACTTAACAGCACTGGCTGGAACAGCAGTTAGTCCCCACATGAGGTGTAGTGGTACCTTACTCTAGATTCACTTTTAAAGCTGTGCACCAAGGTAAACCACACAGAAGTTGGTCGTTTACAGAAGACAGCTAGATGGAGAGATGAGAGAGTAGCAGTCTGAGATGTTTTCCAGACATGACAACAGTTGAAAGAGCAGACAGACTTCCTCAGCAGCAGTAAGTGGAGGAGGTTTATGCTGTAACTGCCTGTCAGGCAAGTCAGCCAGTTAATGCAGAACTAGAAACAGGCTTACAGTGTTAACACCATGTTGACTTCAGAGGCAATTGCATGGCTGGCAAAACATCTGTCAGAGTCCAGATTTTTATCTGTCAGTGTCACATCCACATGGTGCTCTAATGAAAAGTCTGACAAGATAAGAGTCACTTCTGACATTCCATTACCAGAAGTACTATGTTGTATATCCCCTGGCATAGCCTAATTCTTGATATATTAGAAAAATTACTGAGATGCCAACATTAAGTTTGCTGATAAAAACAATGGTTTTTTTAAATTTAGATTCAAGGTAGCTCTCCAAATGTGTCATTTTGGGTTTTTTTAATATCTTTGTCTAACAGCAGCTGCACAGCACCTGATGTTCCTGACAATCAAACAGTTTTTAACACACAGCTCAAATCTTTAGACAGCAAGTATGCCAAGAGTCAGTCACGTACCTGCACCAAGCATCTCTGGCTAGGAGTCCTCTATGCACAGAATTTCTGAGTCACCTTATTACAAAGGCAAAGGTCACACCGGTTTTGGATCTTGTCTGGCAAGTCTTCCTTCTCGCTCTTCCCCTGTGGAGAGTGATCACATTGGTCTCTAGCTGCTCTGCATTCTAAGTGCCTTTCACTTTTGGCTTTCCAGTGACATAATCATGTTTAACTACCAGCCAGTAGTTAAACTGTGCCAGTCTGGCACTAGCAGTCAGGGAAAGATCCCTAACTGTTTCACCTACCTGCTAATCAAGGTAACAGTCTCACAAGTGGTTTCAAGTTCTTTAGGTTTATTCAAAAGCAGTATCTACTGACCAGTGTAATGTCTACACCTACACTTGCGTCAGGAAAAGGAAGTGCACGAGATGCCAAGGTACACTGCAGATACTCAGAGGAAGGAACAAGACTCAGTCTGAACAACATGAGTTACCAAAAACTCCCGGACTGTCATCGTACAGGTCGGTTTGGACATAACCCTGCCGCACGTACCGAACTCCTCGCACCGGGCGAGCAGGGACGAGCCTCTCCGGCCGAGAGGAGTCCGGCGCCCGCTCCGAGCAGGCGCTGACACTCCGTGAGGCATCGCCTTGTGACTGCAGCACGGCAGGGCGGCTGCGAACGCCGGGAGACGGAGCCGAGCGCCGGGCGAGACAGCACGGGCCGGGGGAGCCCCGAGCCACCCACGGGGCCCACGCGAGGCCTGCGGGGCGCTCAGCACCGCTCGGAACCCGGGCGCGGACACAAAGAGTGAGAAGGGCCGGCCCCGGCCCAGGGCGGGGGGACTCGGGGGGACCTCAGGCGGCCCCAACCGCAGCGCGGGTCCCTGCCCGCCTCACCGACCCCCGCCCCGGCTCACAGCACGGCGAGCCGCCCACCCCCGCCCCGCAGGGCTCCGGGCCGCGCCTCCCCGCATCGCTCGCCCGCGGTCACCATCCCGCAGCAGCCCAGCGCACCCACCAGCCTCGCCGCGGCCGCGGCAGCTCCTTCCCCGCCCGCGCCTCCGCCTTATAGCGGGGGCCGGGCGGCGCCGCGCGGCGCCAATCGGGGCCCGGGCAGCGACAGCTGACGGGCGGGGCGCCCGCGGCCCTTCCCTCCCTTTCCGTGACAGCCCCGGTGGGTCCCGCCCCGCGCCGCGAGGTGGAGAATGGAATCGCAGAAGACAGTCGCGGAGTCGGAGAATCATAGAGGCATGGGATCGTGAAATCAGCGAGGTTGGAAGAGATCTTTAATAGCATCCCGTCGAACCGTCAATCCAGCACCATCAGAATCACCTCTAAACCACATGAACCAGCACCACATCCAGACGCCTCTTCCTCTTATACACCACCAGAGGTAGTCCCGCCACCACCGGCCTGGGCAACATATTCCATTGCCTGACGAACCCGAACAGCCGCCGTCTCAGCTTAAAGCCATTTCCTCTGGTCCCCTCACTCCGAGCACAGCGAAGAGACCGGCCCCAGCCAACTACAGCCTCCTTTCAGGCAGTTGTAGAGAGTGATGAGGTCCACCCGGAGCCTCATCGGGGCTAAACAAACCCAGCTCCCTCGGCCACTTTCCACAGGACATATTTTCCAGACATTGCTTGGCGTGTCCCGGCTCCGGCGGCCCGCGGAAGGCTGAAGGGCTCCCTTGAAGGGCCGCGCTCCCTCCCCTCGCCCCCTCAGCCCTCAGCCCCGCGCGGCGTCGAGGCGAGGGCGTGAGGGCACAGCCGCCCCCGCCAGGCTCTGAGGGTGTCGGACCTCGCTGACCCAGCCCCAGCGCTCTTCTCGCCAGCCCCGCCGGGGTAAAAGCCCTCAGACACCTCTGTGGCCCCGCAAGAGGCTCCTTCTCATTTCAGCGGGCAGCCACAGGACAGGGGCGCGGTGCTGGTGGCACTGACGGCCCCGCCGTCCCGGCCAGCCCTCCTTCCCTTTCCCCGAGCAAACGGCGCCTTGCCCCCTGAGGGCGTCTGCCTCAAACCTGCAGAAAGGTCTCGTTCCCAGTATAGAAATTTTATTTGGTAATTCATGACATGGTGATGCAGTGAGGAAATTGCCCAATACGGGTATTTGTCAACCTTCGGCTGAAGTTGGTCTTTACTGGAGTAAAAAAGGATATTGCGACTCCTCTGATGTGGTACAGTTACTGGTAACAGAGATCCCAACTTGTTTGAGGTTCATCTGAAGTCTGGCAGAATAAGTTTTCAGGGAATAGACTGTGACAGAAGATCAAGTTTGGAAGTCACCATGACTTACAGAAAAACTTGTTTTACAACAGTTTATATTGTGATTTAACCCCAGTCAGCAAACAAGCTTCCCATTAGCAGGATGGGGGAAAGAATCAGATGACTTCATTTTATTATTCACTTTTAATTATCAACTCTGCTTTCAAGTAAGATCCAAAACGTAGCCCTACACTAGCTACTGAAGAAAAGTCACTCTGTTCTAACCAAAACCAGCACAACTGAAAAATTTTCTATGGGGTAAAACTAATTTTTCCTCCTTTAAATGGAGTGTCCACCATGAAACAAGGTGCGTGGTCTCTTTCCATTCTCATTCAGTGGAAAGCTAAATGGGGCCCAGTACCCTTATGGATGTCTCACCTCTTCTACTTGCTCTTTAACCATCCAGACACAAGTCATTGTTTACCTGAGGGCTGTACAGCCCCCTTCACCTATGCTGGTGTGTCAGAAGACCTTTCTAAGATGCCAGGTAACTCTGGACTGCTCCCAAATCCTATCTAGCCAGTTTGCAGTATTAGCAGAGCAACTGTTTCATGGTACACACTGCCCCAAGCACACCATCCTATATTTTGTTTAATCAAAAATTTATGGTGGCATGGAATATCTGAGATACCACAGCCAGTTAAGAACATTTTTATAGAAGTCATTGTTTAATGTAAGATTAACAGTTTAAACTTTGGATCTAATAAGAGTAGTGCAGCATCAGTTTCTACTGTCTTTATGCATCAACCACCATAGAAGAGATGATAAAACACTACTAAACCTTAAAAGCTCCTAACCTTTTTTGAAGAAGTGTAAGAATAAGCACAGACACTGTTTACTTCCCCTGCTGGTAGCTAATGGTCTGAGTAATCTGGCAAAGTAGCATTGGCCATGGCTGTAACCTTCTGTGACTTGAGCAGATGCAAGAGGTAGCCTTTGGACCAGTAATTTAATAAGATATCTAAATATCATTTTGATACTTGGATCTCCCCAGAGATGCCTGTTTACTTACATAACAATGGACAGAGTCTCCATCCAAGTGTCCCGATCCATTTCAGTGAGAAGGGTCATGCCCTTTTGTACAAAAATCATGAATGCAATTACGACAAAGCTGACTGGTAAAAGCCATCCAATAATAGCACAGCCTTAAGAGAAAAAGACTGGCAGTCTCTTTTTGGTATAATTTGAAAACTTTTTGCCTTTGAGAAAGTTTTAAGAGTCTTTTTGTATCTTATATTTAATAAATGGCACAGAGAACAAAGCGGGTTCATTCACATCAGTTTCTTATCTTTGTAAATGGGCTGCTTGCTCTGTGCAGGCTTGGATAGGAAATTTCCAGTCTGTTGTGGAGAAAGTACAGGGCTGTTAATCCTTCAAAATTGCTTTAAAAACTCCTCTTACTTTCCCACCTTCACCCATCCCCAGTTAAAGCTTAAGGCTTTCAGCAGGAGCAAGGGTCTAATGATCTCAGATCCACACAGGGGGAGCAAAGAACCCACTGTATTCTTCACCAGGAGCTGCTGAAGCATACTCAGTTAAAGCCACTGAGTAATATGGCTTCCAGCTGTGTTAAGGATGAAAAAATCAGGATTTTCTCTCATTTATTTACTGTTGATCCTTAGCTGTGCACAAGTAATGTACAACTGTAAACATGCTACTACAGGAGATATTTTTCTCTTCCTTAGAGAATAATTACAAGTTTATCAGTACAATTTCAATATTCATAACTTACATAAAGAGATTTGACAATTTTCTGAATTTATACTGTCATTTAAAGCACACACTTCTGCTTTGATGTTTTCATATCACAAGCACTCAAGAGTTTAAACCATTACATGTGCTTATAGATGTCACTGGGAATTATCCACAGAAGAATTCTGGGGTCACCTGTGCTTGCCACTGTGACAGACAGTGCTGGAGCTATTCTGACCCAAGCATAGTTTCCAGCAGTGTTGATTTTAAGTGTTGCTAATTATAGAGATTCTTTTGTTTCTCTTCAGGGACTATACCACTGTCAGAGAAATAAATTAGTAGATTATGATATGCCTGTGTTTGGTTTTTTTTGTTAGAAATAAATTTTTTCCATTGTTTGCAAATTCACATCACACACTCTTTGTCTTCTAATGTGACTATTTTAAAAGTACTTATTTTTGGAGTTTCCTTCTGTCAGTTGTATCCTGTGCCCTCTAAGTATATTGTTTGTATATTCATTATGCTTCAATTTTGAACAATTACTGTCAATATTTGTTCCTTTAATTAGGGACATATGTTGTATTACTTCTGAAATGGTGGCCAGTAAAATAAACCATGTGCTCCTTCTATTTCCACTGGGAAAGACAGAGAATATGCAGCAGCTGCATATTACACCTATAATATCTGTTCCATTTCCTGTTGTTCTGTAGCACTCCTTGGTGCACAATGTGTTCAGTAATCATTGTGCACTCTGGAAAGTTTATCAGGGAAAGAGACCACACAGAACAGTTTTTCAGGTCTGCAGGGGGATTGTTAAAAAGGACAAACTGCTGCTGTCTCTGTTTGAGGAGGTGTAAATAGCATCTTGCACCTTTACATACAGGTCACTGGAGAGCACATACACAGAAAATGGAATCAAGCTGACCCTCTCCAGCAACTTGAGCAGGTTTTATATTTTCTTATTTCACCTGGGAAAAAATGCAGGAGAAATTATTAATCCAGCTCTGTGCATGAAGAGAAATGAAAGTATATAAAGAGTTTGTATGGGTTAAAGTTTAATTTTTTTTAAGTTTTGCAAAACCTCAGGGTAATACTAAGCCAAGATTTGCTTCCTCTACCAGAGCATGCCCCCAAATCTTTTCTTGCATTCTTTTGCTGTGGAACCCCACCAATTTTTCTTAGCCTTCTGCTTAAGAAAGCAGATGTTGGGTTTTGTACTCTGCTATTTGTAATTATGGGTATGACTCATGAAGTGTAAAAACACTTTTAAGATTAGTGTGAGAATAGACTCACTGTATATCTGAACAGTAGAATCAATCCACTTCTGCATCAGTGCTGGGAATACCCACCATACCTATTTAAAAGAAAACCCTCAAAAGATGGTTTTTATATGACAGCATAATTGAATGGTGCATTCTCTAATTCTGATTAGTGCTGTTAAGTGGTACTTCATGATGAGAGACTGTGAATCCAGGCCAGGAAAAATGGATTGTTTAAAACCCATCTGACCATAAGCTTTAATTTAGGATTCTGAAGGCTGTAGCCCTTTTTTGGCATAGAACCTAAGCTGGGAAAAGAGGTGGTTCTGCTTGGATGCCTTGCATTCTGCCCTGAAAAGACAGCTTTTATATGTAACTCCATAGATGATAAAAGGTGGAAACAGTGCTATATATCATATTTACAATGAAAATGATAATCTTTATTTTGCTGCAACCCTAGGAATAGCTGCAGTTATCTCCTATTCACTGCCATGGCTTAAAAATATGCAAAAAGATGAATTTACTGCGTTGAACACAGCAAAATGTTGATCTTTGTCTCATGTTTTGGAGGCTGTTTTTGTACCTGAAAACTGATGAACAAGGTACAAAGCATTTCCTTTGTGCAGCAGTTATTTCTAAAGCTCTCTGCCAGAGTAGTGAAGCATAGTGAGAAAAGACATCTGGTGAGAGTGCCAGCACCTCAGGCTCACTCCGTGGATCTGGGTGCAGTCAGTTCCCCATCCTTCCAGGTTATTACTTAGCATCCAACAGTCAGTTTAAAACATGTTATTTTAAACTTGGGAACAGACAGGTTTTAGCAAAATCAAATGTTGCTCTGTCATTAGGCTGCAGGCCCAGTCTGTGGGAGACAGGAGAGGGAATGTTTTCCTAGTTAAAAGATTTGGCAGTGTAACAAACTTCACTTTGAAGGAAGAGTGTTCTCTTGGCACTATAGGTAACTCTGTTATGCTGAAAAATAGATTCCTTGATATACATTTGGAAAGCACATTTGTTAGAATGGTTCAGCATTTCCTTCAATTTAACTTTGCCACAAAGAGATTTGCAACAAGACTATTCCCTGTTGCAAGACTGGAAGCAAAGGCAAAAAGTTTTATTTTCATTCCTTCTCTCATCCATGGATAAAACCCCACATATTTTATGTTCCAGCCTTTTCCTACTCTGGACGAACTTAGAATGCTCTTATTTCCTTCTCTCATCAGTAGTGTGGCCCAGAATATGCTTTTCCTTTGGCAATGCAGTCTCTTAGGACAAACAGTCTGCAATCAGCTTCTGACTGGTTTCTTAGTAGGAAGCTGAATGGCTGCAAAAATGGAAGAATAGATAAACACAAGCTTAGCAACCTTCATAGCCTGCAGATAGTCCAGAGGAGCAAAATATAAAAATTTGCTTTAAAAATGACATGGCTAACCATTATGTGTGTGGTTGTTTTTTTTTGTTTTCTTTATTTTGTGAAGAAACATTTAATGAAAAATTGAGTGATTTAGTGACCTTCTGGAAGAGTTGGTCACATGAACTAATTTTATTAACTTCTTTCTTCCAGGTATTAAAAAATCAAATTGTAAAGAAGTCTTCAGTGTTTATGTATGGATCTTATACCTTGGCCAATTTGGAGATATCCATAAGTGAGTACTCCATCCTGTACACTGAAACTGAAACTTTATTTTTCAAGTTTACTATTTTAATGAATTTGACCAAATAAACAAAAAGTGGCTTTGAACATTACCAGATTTTTAGCCCTCTCCTTGTTTACTGCTTCCCCTACTGGAGCAAAATTTCCTGTCTTCAAGACATTGGACGTGTTAGCTGGGGAAACCCAAAGAAAATCTGTTAAGATTGCAAATTTGTGTCTTTACATCATTCAGATTAGAGTAGGATTGTTTTGAGACTGAGTAGTCAAACATTTAGTAACTTCTTGATAGTCTTATTAGACTTTATCACTATAGTTCTGCTTTTTCCAGCAAGTGCTTCCTGAAACAGTGTAAGAGCAGTGACACAAATCAGTGTCCCCCAGTGTATTGCGTTTACTGTGACAGATTGCATTGCAGTGAAACATCTCTCCAGATAAAGCCTAGTTTGAACCTTCCCTACTGTAGCAAAGAGAAAAAGAAAACCCTTGTTATTTCAACATTTGTGCCAATTTGCCTGACTTAGCTTTGAATTTTAGGAGCACTTCTGAAAACAAATCATAGTAAACAGCTCAAACTACAAGTGTCAGCTCTTGGGGAAACCAGAAAATTCTACATGGCTGATACCTACCCAGAATAGAAATCTAATGAAACATTTGCTACTGCACTTTAGGACTAACTGCCTGATGCTAGGAGAGAAGGTAGGGATGGTTTAGAGACAAAATGGGGTTTGAGTGATGTAAAAAGGGAAGGTGGAAATAATTTGAAAAACTAAGCCCAAACTGACAAATCAACCCAGACAGCTTCATCTAGTCTCTTGATAACTCTGGTCATGATTTTTTTTCTGCAAGTTTCCTGATAAATTTGGCCTGGATGTTATTTACTCCTCCTGTTTTCCTGGGAGTAAACACAACCTATGAAACCCAGGATAGGAATGTTGCACCAGAGCAATCAACATTTAACACAGACAATATTTAATACATGAAGGAGCTGTTTTATCTACTAGTAGGGAAGACTATTACAGCAGTCTGATTATGAGTAATTGTTTGAGTTGCAATTAAGATCTTCAGATTAATTTCCTGAATACCAGCAATTACTCACTATACTACAGACTGAGCCATAAGCTGTTCTGATGGTGTTGTTCAAAGGCCTTCACTCTCCTTCAGACTCCTGCAACTTAATCTATCTGTAACTTTCCCCTTTTCCATTTACTGCCATTATTTCAAGTGTCAAGTAAAGATTTTTTTTCTCTTTATTAGGATTAGATGTACTCTCCCTCTGCATATCTGCAGCTGGACATAATTTGGATTGATTCTGCTACAGTAGCTGCATTATGTTGTGTCAAATCCTAAATGTCAGAGTGTGTGTTTTTTGCTACATTTTAATTGTTGGTAGCATTCTGTGACCAGTTTAGACAGGGGTAGCAGAGATGAAGAGGGTATGAAATGGAAGTTTGCAGTGGTAGAGGATGCACTGGTCACTGTGTAGGGATCACATCTCCTGAAGAAGGCCACAAAGCTGCAAGGATCACAGAGTTCAAGGTGTGCATCTTGGGAGAGTACTACAGCTCACAACATATGCAAATCCTTAGGGAATGGGGAGTTTGAAGACCAAGAATTCAAGGTGTTAACTCTGCATGGTGAGCAGCACACAAGAAGGGCATTGGTGCTTGACTAGTTTGCAAGTAAGATTTTGCATCCTTGTTTCATCAGCTGTGATGCTTATTTGAGCAGTGCCAAGTCCCTCCTGGGAGGGCAGAGCTATGAGTGCCTGTAAACTGTGGAAGGATCAGAACAGCCTTTTCTCTAGTGACCTGACTGCTTTCTTGACTCAGCTTTTAGAAAATGATGGTTTTATAAATTTTTATCCTGAGAAATGTGGGTTAAGTTGTATATTTCAAAAGTTCAGTATAAATGTGATTTTTGTGGTGCTTTTGTTTGGAATAGCTCTAGTTTAGAAAACTCTATTGCAGAATTTATGCAGTGGTAAAGCTGTTCCTACAAAACAGTTTACAGTAACTGTCAGCATCAGATGTTTTCTAGGCACTACATTTGCCACCTAGCAACCACAGTAGGGTAATTGTGCTGCAAGTCATCCATGTGTGCAGCCCTGTCAGATAAAGAGACTCTGCTGCAGGATTACCCACCAGTCATTAGTCATTAATGACAAGATATCTTTCTTACAGTGCAAAGTGCTCTGGAGATTCCCCAGGGTGAATGCACAGGGCTTCAAAACAGCACTGCATTTTTCTGTAAAAGAAAACCTATATGTTATTCCTTATGGTGAGGTCTCCAGTCAGCAGCTATTCCCTGCAAGGCAACTTTTGTAGGGAATATTTCATTTTTTTTCTTCCACTGCATTTCAGAATTCCAAAACTGGACATGCATATTCTTTGAAGCTTATATTAATTGCTGTAAGAAATCAGATTCACTGTGCTACATGGAAAAAGATATAACCCTTTAAATAGAATGACACATTATGTTTTCCCCTGTCTGTTCTCAGATGCTCTTACACCCCATCTGAATACCATCTCTCCATTTTAGAGACCTCTTTGTTTTTTGAAGAGTCTCATGTCTACTGGACTTTCCTGTGAAGTTTCTCTGCTATTACTCATTACTGCAGCTATACTAATGATGGTTATTCTGGACTGTCCAGAGGCAGACACTGTAGCTGTTCCCATTTTGGCAGCTGGCCCTGGCACTGGCTGAGTGCTGGCAAGGACAATGTGCTGTACTGGGGCTTGTGGGATATTGCAAATTGAGTAACAGGACTTAGAGTGAATGCTGCTGCTGGGAGAGCAGTTACTTATGAACACAGGGCAATTCCCTTAATTCCTGTAGTCTTCTGAACAGTCGAGGACTCTGTGGTAAGAATAGTACAATAACAATAGTATGGTAAGAAAAACAGAGCAAGCAATCTGAAGGACCAGAAAAATACTTTAAAAGCTAAAGGAGAATACAGAGCACTGGGAGGCAGTGTGAGTATCACCCCAGAAACTTGTGGGGATTATCCCAAACATTGCTCCTCTCCATTTTACTCGCTGTTGAAGCACTCTGTGGAAAG